GAATGCTACTTATAATTTATTTCTTTGTGAACATGTAAAGAAGGCAAAGAAGAAATTTGGATAGCTAATTTATATTATAATAATGGGGTAGGATGGTAAATCTCCTTCGGAAAAAATGTTGGGAAGGAAAACTAATACCTTTTTAGATATGTTAAAACCTGTTTCGAGAATGTTGGAAATTAAAAATAATGTGGAAAATGAATATATAGTTGATCAAATGGTCTGGGTTAGGATGTATGGAACTGGTAAAAAAAATGGAAAAAGGGGATAATTATAGAAAATTTAGGTAATAAATTGTGTAAAATAAGATTGGAAGATATGACGGAAGGGCGTCGACATAGAGATCAGTTAAAATGTCGAGTTGAATAAACTTAGTTGATATGTAAATACGTTGGGTTTAATTTTTTTTGTGTGTTAGGATAGGTCAATAATGTAAAAAAAATATATATGGGTTTATTGAAATTGTATTAATATGTATATTTTCGGCGTTATTTTGCAAATGTAAATGTTCTCATATTAAACTACTTTGAATTTATCCGATTGAAAGTAATTAAGCGGATAATTAAAAATAAGAAATAGGAACTTTTTAAAAAGAAGGAATAATTAATAGTTTATGAAATTGGGGTTGAATTGAATTTCAAGAAAAAATTATAATGAGTTATTATAGGAATTTGGGGTAATTTGTAGAAAATGCGTTTTGGAAGATAAAAATTCGAATATAAATTGGGAAATAAGAAAAGAGGTTTAGGAATATATTTTAAGTAAAAGCGTATAATTATGGAATGAATATAATAAGGAATAGTAAATTTTGGGAAAATGTGTTATAAAAGTTATTTTTTTTTAAAAAATGGGAGATTTTAAAGAGAGAATATGGTGCATCAAGGAAAAGTAATTAATTATGAATGAGGGTAAATTGTAGAAGAATTCGTTTTTTTTAAAGTAAAAATTAGGATATGGGAAGATAAAAGTGGTTAAGAAATGTGTTGAGAGTAATTAATTTTGGAAATTGAGAAATATATATATAGTAAGTGAAATTAATCAAAATAGTCGGAAAATTAAAACAAATATAAAATTGTTTTTTTTTTGAGAAAGCAACAGGACCGTGTTAAATAAATGTAATATGAGTGAAATAACAGTAGAAAAATAAATTTGAAAAAAATAATGATTTTTGTGAAGTTGAATAAAGTTGTTAAAGTGATAGTTCTTGTTAAAAAAAAAATTAAAATGTATCTGGAATAATGTTAAAAGGAATGGATGGTGAATACATTTTGGATGTAATTAAAAAAAATTGGATTGACTCTTTGTAATATTTTTTCCAAACAACTACAATTATTCTGAACAATTAATTATAATGATGCTAGATTGATGATACCTTTATTAGATATATTCAATAAAATACATCGATAGTTGTATTGTATATTTCCTTTTATCTCATAATTAAATATTTTAAATATAATTATGTTTACATTATATTTCAATAATATTAGATTCCCAAGATGGCGTTTATTAAAATATTATTTATATAAAAATAAAATAATTTAGAAAAGTCAGATTTTTGAACATTTTGAAAAAAAATTAATTTTAAGTTACACTTTAAAAAAGAACAGAGTTACAAATATATTTTTAAATTAAGTTAATTTTGTAAAACTTTTGCAATAGCCCAAAAATGTAATATTTATTTTAATATTTATATTATAAATAAATAAAAAAAAAAAAATTTTTTCTTCTCACTTTAATCGGATATTTTTATTTTTAATCGAAATATTTAGTTTATAGAAAAGGAAAATCCATCAAATTATTCTCTTTTATCTTCATAATCATTTGTGATAATCAATAAAAGCTAAAAAAAATTATATTTGTACCTGTAGCAGCTCTTCCTTGGTGGGATAAGTAAACACCATAGGACATTTGAACAAACCTATGCTACCCCGAAAATTATATTCATAAACAACATATATGGCACATAAGGGGTTGTTAAAATCATATTTAGACTTGCAAATTTCTGAAAAGAGAAATTCCCTTTGCCCCCACCTTCAATGAATATGTCTATGGTATTGAGTATTTAATTGTAATAATATATAAGTGAAGGAGTTGTTAAAAGCATAAAAATAACATGCCCACTTATCCGTGTCAAAGGAAGAAAGCCAATTAAACTCCCATTTCGCCATCGACAAATACTTGCAGATAACTCCTATTTCCCAACCTGGTATAATTTTTTATACTAAGCATATCATTTTTTTCATGGCTGAAATAAACTTACGGTTCCTAGTAGTGTTGTTAAACGGCTCGTTTTGAGCCGATTTTTAAAAACGGCTATCTCAATATTTTAGCCAGATAATTATTGCCTAAGCCTCAAGATTTCGACAATATATGTCTGGATCTTTGTTCCTTCTATGAGCAAAATCTTCAGGCTTGGGTAATATTTGTATGGATGAAGTATTAAGTTAGCCGTTTTTAAAAATCGGCTCAAAACGAGCCGTTTAACAACACTAGTTCGTAGAGCACAATATTTTAATGGGAAGTTTCCAGCCTAAAACTTGGAAGAATGCAGTTAATACCTTCAGAATAAATTTAAGCGGGCTGTATAAACCTATATAAAAATTAGAGACCTAGAAGTGGTATCATCCATAAGCGAGGTCGAGTCCAGACTTTTTTTATAAAAAATAATTTTTTGGCCCTGACATAATTTTTTTTAATAATATCACATTTGTTTGTAATTTTTGTAGCTAAATAATGGCGATTTAAAATATTCGGTTCTGAGTATAATTAAAAAAATATTAAAATACGACCGGGCAAGTGTATTTAAACCGGGTTGGGTTAGGCCTGCACTTATAAAAATCTTATCAAGACTGAATTCGTATTTTTACAAACTTGTATTTTGTAAGAAAAATATTTAATAAATGATAATTTTGAATTTTCTTTTTTCAAATCTCATTATTTTCTCGATTAACCTTCAAAAATAACAAATTTTTGCCAAATCGATGATTATTAATTGCCAAATATGATCCCAAAAATCCATGCGAAGGATTATTATGAAGGCAAACAATTAGTATTAATTACCTTATCTTGAAAAAAAATTAACAACTCATGCCATATTAAATTTTTTTGTTTTTTTTAAATTCGTTTTTATATAAGTAATTGTTTAAATATGTATGTAATTTTTTTGGTAGTATTGGTTTGTTTAAATTTCCTATGGTGTTTTCTTATCCCATCAAGGAACAGCTGCTACAGGCATAAATATTTATTGTATTTTAGCTTTATATTATCTACAATGATTATGAAAATAAAAGCTTATAATTTCATTGGATTTTCCTTTTCTATAAACTAAATATTTCAATTAAAGATAGTGTTTTTTAAAGTGCGTTCTAAACTTAAAATTACTAAAAAAATATTCAATAATCTGAAGGTAATTGTTTTCTATTTTGATGCACCATGTGGTGTCCAAGCGGTTCAAGTTAAATGCAGAGGAATGCCATATTTATGTCTAACAAGTTGGGAATTTTATTTATAAATTTTGATTTAACAATCCGAAAGCGTGTTGGTAATTTCATTCATTTTATTTTTCTAGGGCATCCGCCCCCCCCCTTTCAGAAATTTATCACTTTTTGTGAATTAAGCTAATAAATATCCTCCTTATTTTTCTCCCCACCTCCTGTCCAAATGTATGCATATATGTTAAACAATAATTTGAAAGAAAGAATGTAAAAATTAATATTTTTTTAAACTAAAACTATTCATTAAATTCATATTTTTTTGCAAAAAAGCATTTATATATAAAAAAAGAAAACCAAAAATGTTTTTTAAGAAATGGAATATAAGCCAAAGATAAGTCTTAAGACAAAAGTGAAATATATTATAATTATTAAAAATGAATCTATAAAATTACTAAATAATATATCAAATATAATTTTTTATAAAGTGAGTAATTTTAAATTATTTATCTTAATAAAAGTAAAATATAATTATAAAACTATTGATAAATTTAATCATAAATTAAATAAAAAAATTAAAGCACAATACAAACAGTGGAATATTATATGTCGTAGATTTACAATATATACCTAATTTTATCAATTATCATATAACATTCAAATAATTTTTACCAATATATAGCGAATTATATATTTTACAGAAAACTAAAAAATACTGATATGGACATTAAAATTTTTTTATTAAAGTCATTGTGGAATGAATCATATGATGATTATTTTTTAATATCATTTTTAATTTAAAATAAATAGATGGCATTAAATTATTAAATACAAATTGTTGCTATATTTATTATCAAGAGCGTTGATTAGTAAAATTTGTTGAAATTCTATATAATAGAGGAATATCATCTATATGCCTACTTAATTTTTATAAATAAATTTCTTATACTTGTTTGGAATAAATTAATATCATGCTTTTAATGCATATACAAGTAATTTATTAATAAATTAATAAAAATATATTTCATATCTTTTGCAGGTTTTTTTTTATTAAAATTAACCTCATAAAAAATATGTTATGACTATATATAGACTAAGGTAACCCGGCCGAAGGGGGGAGGTGAAGCCCCAAGTTATTTTTTAATTCCCTCCCCCCTTTAGGAAAATCATGGCTACGCCTATGTTTGCGAGTATATCGTGCATGATAGATAACACCCGTGAAATAATAAACCATCGTTTTATCTATTGAAGATCCGAGATATGTGAGAGTTCTTTATGTATAACTAAACATAATCGTGGTTAAGGTCATTTAATTTAAAGGGAGAATATTCGCCCTTGTCTGGATTAATTCGCAGTCCCAAACTGCTCCGCTGGTCTCTAATATCTAGATTGCCTTCATCACTTCATCCGGTGAGCCGTCTACTATACCAATTATTAAAAATAAGCTAGCATTGGTCATTTCGGGCTAGTATCTGGCTATTAATGCCAAGACCGAACAAAAGGGAACCTATAGGGTCACCTTTTGACAGGCATCTGTATTTCATTTTAAAATATAGACAGCACATTTTTATATAATTTTTTTTGCGCATTTCCTAATTATTATTTCAAAAGTTTTGATTTATATATTACAATAAAATGGTGTATAACTATGACTCTTGAGTAGTTGGATAATAAGCAACGTAGAAATTTGCTAAAAAAATCTTCAAATTAACTTCCATGACATATTTGGAAATTTACAAGATCTTGATAGGTAATTTTTTAAAAATATGATGCAAAAATTGCTCATGAAAATATATGATATTTGCTAGATAGTAACTGATAATAAAATTAAAAATTATATGTTATATCCATATGTTTTAGATATTATATATACTTTGCAATATTCAAGAAATGTGTTAAAGGGGTCTATATCAAAAATGTTTTTTTAATCATTAGCTATACTAGTATAACCTTAATTAAGACATTTTATTAGATTTCCATGCATATAAAAATGAACAAATGGATTTACTTTCCCTATGATAAACTCATAATAACTGGTAATATAAAAGATTTTGAAAGGTATTTTAAACATAATATAAAAATGACACATGAAAATATTTGATTCATAGTAACTTATAATAAACCAAATATATGTAATAAATATATTTTTTTAGACATTGTAATGTGATAATTTGGAATATAGATAACTTTAAAGCCTTAAAGAAAATTGTTAATAAACAGGTCTTTATCAAAAATGTTTCTTAGGCATATTAGCTATATGGAAAAATGATGTATATATATTTATATTGTTACATTTAATTTTAGATTGCTTGGCTTCCAATGGAAACAATTATATTTACTTTCCCAGTAGGTAACAATTACAATAGAACCTTTCCAAAAACAAATTTTCAAAAATTAAAAGGGATAACTAGTTATCCCTTTTGAAAATAGCTAATCATGTTAAAAATTATTTTGTAAATTTATTATATAACTCATTATTTTGAATTTAATCTTCTAAATAACTCATTATTTTGAATTTAATCTTCTAATTATATAAAATTATTTTGTATGATATAAAATTTTAGAAGGAAAATTATAAATAAATAACTGAAAATAACAATAATGTTTATTTGCATCAAATAATATATTTAGTTTTTTAAATCTTAATTAAACTGGCATATTTCCAATAAATGTTTAAAAAGTTGGTAGTAGTGTGGTTATTTAGTTAGTTTTACATGACCATGACTGGTTTTTAAATAATGAATCAACCTTGTTGATTAAATCCATAGACCTGAGCACCAAACCAATTTATACTATTTTGATCAATTTTATGCATAGAAGATGAATATTACAATATAATCTATTATATTTTAAAAATTGCTCTCTTATAATTTGAAAATTAAAAATTAGAGGACAAGTAATGTGATTCCATAATAATTAAATAATAATATCGAATCATAAATATAGAGTTAAACAACAAATAAATACATTTTGGCTCAAAATTAAAGTCTAACCAATTATTAGGACAACTAGAGCCAACTCCTGAACTGCCTTAGCCATTTTTTACAACTTTGGGGTAGATATATTATTAATTAAATAAACATATTACCCTCATTTTTTGTTGATATGAATTATAAATATCTAAAAAACGATAAATTCCTAAAATAAATTTTTCCTGATATTATAAAATAATCCTTATGAATACGATATCACTTATTTAATTAATATGGAATTGAATTACTCATCCTCTATTTTTAATTTTCAGATTATAAGAAGAGAACAAATTTTAAAATAGGAATCTAATATTGAAATATTTGTCCTCTGAATAAAAATATGATTGAGTAATATATTAACAATAAAATACTATAATAAGGGTGGTTTGGAGTTGCTGCTTGGCTCTATGGATTTGGTCAACTCATTTGGTTGGGTTGGTTTATATTTTTGACCAAAACCCCAACCAAAAATGATCTTAATTTTACCCAACCAAGCAATTTAACCATACTAAAAAGAAGGTATGCAACTAAGAAATATATTAAAATAGCTTTAGTGTGCTTGCTACTCTATGCCTGAAATCAAACACTATTTCAAATGGAAAAATATAGGTTATCAATATATTAATCTTGTCACTGATATATATTTTAAAATAATAATATATTTGAATAATTTTTTAACAGTATTAATATAAATCAATCAATTGATAGTTGATATTTAGAAAAATAATATATATATTGATTTTTTATTATCATTATTAGTAATATTTATTGAATTGCAGATTGATTTGAAATATAATTTTGAAAAAGATATAAGCATTGTAGTTTTTATGATTATAAAAAATATATATTTTGTTCGAGATTTGATACATATTTGATAAAAATATTTATTTTGAATTAAAATAAAGATTAACCAAAAATCCAGAATAAATTGAAATTGATAAATATTGGTGTTTAATTGAGAATAAAAGTAGATACATTTTAATGGTGCCTACCAACCAGGATACGAACACTTATTAGGGAAAAATAAAAAAAATAGTGAATATTTTGTGAAGAGAATTTTAGATATTATAAAAGTAGAACAATTTCTAGGACCGGGTTCCTCAAAATAATAGTAATTCCGGATATATATATAAAGGTAAGAAATTTTGTTTTTATTGAATTATAAATTAAACAACGCAATTTAAAAAGTTTTTTTTTCTATTTAATTTTTTTAGGATTTTAAAAAATTTATTTTTGATATAAATTTATGAAATCATGGTTTATCCTTTTATTACTGTGCATAGGAAGCCTGATTTTAATAAAATTTCGATTTATAAGAATAATTTTAATAAAATTTTTAATACAAAATTCAATGAATTGGATGTGACTAATAGTGCGGTTACAGCTTTCATTTTTTTTATATTGTATATATTATTAATTGGTTTTAGACAATTAATTAATAGAATTAAGAGAAGATCAGTGACAAATAAAATAATTAAATTAGGTGATCTAAATAATAATAAATCTTTAGATATTTCTGAAGATATCAAAAATAATTTGCATTTAATTTTATTAGAATTAAAAAATTTAAATGGTAAAAAGATTGTTTTACCAGAAGAACAATCAGAGAAAATATTATATACGAGTGAAGTATTTAATTTTCCTCAAAATATTGACATATTGGAGGATATAAATAAAAAATTAAATTCAATTGTGATAGAATTTAAAAAGCAAATATCTGAGGTTTTAATCGAGAAATCAGTAATAATTTTGAAAAATAATAATACTTTGAGACAAAGTACTGAGGAATCTCTAATGTTAAGTGAAATTAGAAAAATTTGTACAGAGAAGTTTCCAACTTAAAAATTAAAAATAATCATGATTGAAAGTTCTGAACTTTGTGGAAGAATAGGACATGTCGGTAAAAATTGCTATTTAAGAGATTGAAAAATCAATGTGAATGTCACTGCAAAACCAAGTGAAAAAAATGACATAATGTGTCATAGATGTGGTTTTGTGGGACATCTAAAACGAAATTGCATGGTGAAAGAAGCTAATTTCAAAAGTGGATTTTCTCAACAAACATCGGTAGTGATAAATCCAGTGGTTCGAAATATACAAAATCCTAGTGTTATAAGTGTGGATAAAAAAGGAATATATAATACAGATAATGATCGAATGTGTTTCAGATGGGAGGAATTGGGACACATTGCAATACATTGTATTCAAAGTGTGAGTGGGCAGTGACTATATGATTTGAAAGAGAATCATAAAAATAAATAAATTGTATTTATAGAGAATATTAAATTTTGTGATATATATATTTTTATTAAAAATTTTGTGGATATATATAGTAATATAGATAATCATTATGGGAATGATTTTTATACATTGAAATTTAACTCGAATAAAAAGAGTTGTAATGTAAGAAATTTTTATTGTCATTTTGATGAAATAAAAAATAACCAAGAATTTGAATAAAAAGGATTATTGTAACCAAACAAGTGAGAAATATCCATGGGAGATTTTTAATAAAAACATAAATGAGATTCAGAGATTTTTAATAAAAACATAAATGAGATTCAGAGATTTTTAAATTCTGTGAAGAATTTAGGTATGAATATTAATTATAGTGAAAATGAGATTAAAATAAATACTATTCAGCCGATTATAATGCATAAAAATTTAATAACTGGGGGAGTAAAGGAACAGAGTTCGTGTCCTCGTATTAATTTAAAAATTGGTGATGGTTGATATCAGAGTTGTTAAAGGATCTAGATATAAAAATGTGGTATCTATATCTAGATAGATTTTTGAATAAAATATCGGTATCTAGATATTATTTTAGACGATGTATCTGTATCTAGATCCATTTAAAAAGTATCTTTTAACAACTCTGGTTGATATGTTATTTGATACCGCGGCAAGTATTTCAATCATGTCTTGTGAAAATTTTTATAAATATTGGCATAAAGATAGTATTAAAAAAATAAATATATGTATAAAACAATTTGATGGATCTGAAATCAAAGTTTTGGGTAGAACTCAGTAAGATGTTCTTTTCCGTGATATTCCTATAATTTTGGATTTATGGATAGTGGAAAAAAATGTTGAAACAATTATGGGTTGGGATTGGATTATCAAACTTGGACTTAGAAATAATTAATGGGATTTATTTATCATTAGCGAATTGGCTAGAGATAATGCCGAAAGAAAAATAATGATGAAGTCAGGGAAAAGCTTATATAAAGGGAAATGAATAAATTAATGAGTGAAGTGAAAGAATCTATAGTTAATAAAAATATTTGTGAATATCCTGCAAAATTAATAATAGATTCAAATCAATCTAAGATCAATATTGAAGTTGATCATGATAAAAAAATTAATAATGAATTAAATAGAGTTGAAAATGCTATACCTATTTTAGTTGAAAAATATAATATAATTTTTGAAGACACTTTGGGATGTCTAAATGATTATCAAGTGGATTTTAAATTAAAAAAGGGATTTTCACATATTTTCTTAGCATGTCGTAGAGTTCCTTTTGAGTGGAAAAAGGAGATCAACGAAGAATTAGAAAACCTAAAATAAATTTAAAAAATAGAGGTTTAAATTTTTTTTTTCTTTTTTAAATTATAAACTTTATTCGGTAAAAAAAATTTGAGATTTAATTAATGAGTAGGTTTAGAATCGAAAAATAGTAGATGTAAGGAACATATTGCTGGCGTTATTGATCAAAATCTCTTCATTTTTGGTTTATACGTGTATATTTAGGTGTTAAACATTATCCTAAAAATTATTTTGAAAATAATTTGATTTGACCGATTGCCGAGCTCAAAACCGACCACTTACTAAATATTTGATCTACCAATTTTGGTAGTAATATTATTTGGAAAATGTTCATTTTTAGTTAATTTATCTGTAAATACGTGCAAATCATTATCCCTAAAAATATTTTAAAAATATCGTGATTTGACCGATAACCGATTTGAAACCGAAATACTGTCTTGCTGGCGTTATACATAGAAAATTCTTCATTTTTGGTTTATACGTGAACAATAACGTGTTAAGCATTATCCTAATTAATTTTTTGAAAATATTAAGATTTGACTGAATGACGGCTCAAAACCCACTTTAAATATTCGATTTATCAAATTTGTAGTAAAATTTGGAAAATGTTCATTTTTGGTTAATTTATCGAAATACGTGCAAATCATTATCCCAAAAATATTTAAAATATCGTATTTGACCGATAACCGATTTGCAACCGAAATACTGCTTTGCTGGCGTTATCCATAGAAAATTCTTTATCTTAATTAATATTTTATTTTTTATCTATTATATAATATCATTAATCCAAAAAATAAAATATAATTTTATTAAATTAATGTCAATAAAAGACATTTGATACAATAATTATACCAAAAACAAAAGTGAAAAATAAATATAATTAAACGAGGAGCAGATATCCCTAGTATTTTCATCTATATATTCATCACTTCCTCATATATTTAAAAAAATATTTAACAAAATGGAAATTATGAATAATCAATTAAATATAATATTATATTTATATGCGATGTAAAAAAAAATATTTTAAAAAAATTTGGTATTTGTGACGATATGAATGAATAAAAGTTACAAAAAATTAATATTTAAAAAATTTGGTATTTGTGACGATATGAATAAAAATTAAAAAAAAAATTAATATTTGCATGCGATGTGAATAAATTTTTTTTTAAAACTATGATTAGGATGAAGCATTGTTCCGATACAAAAATCTATTGTAAAATTAAAAAATTGATTTGATATATATGTACGACGTTTAGGGCCTTAATATTTTTCAATTTTAATTTTTTTATTGATACTGTTCTATTTTTTTTTATTTTAATTTTTTGACATGGTTTTTTAGAATTTTTACGCTTTAAAAGTATTAATTCCCCGCATGATGACATGACATTTTCTCTTTCCCGTTTTTGACTTCCTTTTATTAAAATTTCTACCTCTTTTTTTTTATCTTCCTCACTAAATTTCTCTCAAATTGATAAATCTATCTAAAATGACTTATACCCCTCAGCCAAATAATATTCTCCTTTTCCTATCAAAGCTCTTTCGTGATCTTTTTCTTGTATTTATACTTTATTATATATTATATCAATTAAATTACTTGATTGCCAATTTTTATAACTTTTAAATACATGATTCATGGACTCGCAATTGTTGTTAGTCCATAAATCACTTATAATTATATTTTCAAAAAATTAATTAGGATAATGCTTAACACGTTATTGTTCACGTATAAACCAAAAATGAAGAATTTTCTATGTATAACGTAGCAAGACAGTATTTCGGTTTTAAATCGGTTATCGGTCAAATCACGATATTTTTAAAATATTTTTTGGGATAATGATTTGCACGTATTTATAGATAAATGAACCAAAAATGAACATTTTCCAAATAATATTACTACCAAATTTGGTAGATCAAATATTTAGTAAGTGGTCGGTTTTGAGCTCGCCATTCGGTCAAATCATAATATTTTCAAAAAATTAATTAGGATATTGCTTAACACGTTATTGTTCACGTATAAACCAAAAATGAAGAATTTTCCATGTATAACGCTAGCAAGGCAGTATTTAGTCATTGGGCCGGTTTCAAATCGGTTTTCTGTCAAATCACGATATTTTTAAAATATTTTTTGGGATAATGATTTGCACGTATTTATAGATAAATAAACCAAAAATGATTATTTTCCAAATAATATTAACACCAAATTTGGTCGATCGAATATTTAGTAAGTGATCGGTTTTGAGCTCGCCATTCGGTCAAATCATAATATATTCAAAATATTTTTTAGGATAATGTTTAACACCTAAATATACACGTATAAACCAAAAAGGAAGAGATTTTGATCAATAACGCCAGCAATATGTTCCTTACAAATTTTCTACTATTTTTCGATTTTAAGCCTACTCATTAATTAAATCTCAAAGAAACCTCTATTTTTTAAATTTATTTTAGGTTTTTCACATGTTTCCAAATATAAAAAAAAGCGCTATCCAATATTTATTCTGGTTTCCTAAGAATATATTTTCATATTTATGTATTTTACGCCCTCTTATGGATATAAATTTGTTAAATTTTGTAATTGAAAAATAAAATTTAAGTTGTAATAAGATAGTAAATATATTTTTTTTCCTATAATATCAAGTAAAAATAGAATTTTAAATTATTTGATATTTAATATCATTTTTTTTAATTAATTAAAAATTGATTTATGTAAAATAAAAAAGGAAGACTTTTTGACCATAGGGAGAAAGGTTGTGTTATATAAAATATTGGTAGTAAATTATGTAACATACGATTTGATAATGGTACTCTGGTAGTACGTCATAATAAATTTTTGAGGATATATAATTAAGAAGTGAATTACATGAGGCTGTGTCCTAAATCAAAAAAAAAATTTAAATTTTTGCGAATCTCAAAAATTATGGGAGATTTGGGAGATACGAAACATGTCCCGATTCATACATTTATTTTCAATTTTAAAATGTTTGATATGAATTTGTTGATACGACTGAGCCTAGAAGAAGACATAGATTTTTAGAAGGCCGGTATATATGATATTATTTATATTATATGTATTAAATCTAGAGATCAAGGATTTTTTAAAATATTTGATAGTATTCCATCTTATCCTGACAAATTTCGTCAGATGTTCCACATGCATGTGGAAACATTCAACTACATTCTTATAAATTTGGAGTCTATAGACACCGCTATAGTTAAACATAAAAACTATTAGTATGAAGCAACGTCTCTATATAACACTCATGTATGATGATTTTATTTTTTTATAATCTGTATATATTTATAGATATTTGACAACTGGTATGAGCTTTAGAAAATAGCATTATATGCAAAGACAAATATTACAAACACTATGCAAATAGTTAAGGCTGACTGCCTTTTGCATAATATTATTATTGATCTTGAGGGAAATGATTGTACACCAGTACATGAAGAATATCCAATTTCAAATTTTACCCAATCTCAGTTCCAGTGATGGAATGAGAGCTCTAATAATATCAGAGAAACATTTAACTTATATGTAAATAATTATATGTAAAATTTTTGTATACATTTATTTTTTAATTCTCATAACCTTATATCTCTTATGAATGTTTTCATTTGTCAAAGTTATATAATTTATTTATAAATATTCAATAAAAAGTGCAAATAAAAGTGTTGTTTTGATTACATTATATAAGTAAGTTATTTCTAATTAATTTAATGAGTAAGACAAATGACTAAATTTCAATAATTTTTATTATAAATAAATGTACAAAATATGTTTAACATATTATGGTATTAAAAATTAAGATATAAAAATGTATAAATTAATTAAAAAAATACAGTATAAACTAAACCAACATTGTTGTTATAAATTTTAATTTAAAATCAAAAATTTCTTTATCAGTCATAATATTAAATTGAGCTTGATATGATTTGAAAAAACCCATAATATTATGGGGATCATCTCCTTGGGATGTATGTTTGGCAGCAAAACCTATTTTAAAAATTAATAATTATTAAATATATAAATGTACCCCTAAATATCTCCATTTTTTCATCTTCATACTTCTTAGATTTTTTAGCTTTAGATTTAGGAGTATCTAAATTCTTCCTCTAGCTACATGGATTAATATTTTCTTTATTAAAAGAATTGTCTAACTATAATTAAATTAATAATATATACATAAAATTAATTTAACCTCTAAAATTTCTTTCTCATATATATCAGTAGGATTAACAATATCAGTTAAAAGATCATGTGTATTTAACTCGTAATCCTAATATATAGTTCATTATATACATTTCATGTTATAATACCTGTATGATGTTTGTACATTCACCACATCTTGGATATTTTGTTCATAATCCTAAAATATTGTTATTATATAATTATAATTTCATGTTATAATACCTGTGATGATGATTGTACATTCACCACATCTTGGATATTTTGTTCATAATCCTAAAATATTGTTAATATATAATTATAATTTCATGTTATAATACATGTGAAGATATTTGATCCAAACTAAAACTTGCCTCTGCATTATTACAAATATCTTCAACATTTTCTTTTAGCCAATAATAATCCTCAATAAATTTGAGTTGCTTGCTATTCAAAATATTAGCACCTGAACCTAAAATATAAAATAATATTTATATGTATTTATAATTATACCTGATTTTCATAAATATCTATATCTTCTAATATTTTCCATTAATAAATATTCAGTCGCCATTTAATCTCTCAAATTGTAAAAGTTTAAGGAAAAAATGATTAAAGTTTTACGAATCGTATAACTTTTAAGAATCATGTGATTTGTGCAAAATCGAAAAAATCATTTAGGCCATCATTTTAATTTTCCATTAAAAATGGCTTATATTATTTTTTTCGTTAAATTGCGCAAATTAATTTTTATGCAATTTTTGATATTTAGGACAGAGCCTGAAATAAACATAAAATATTTTATAAACAAAATGATAGTGTATTATTGTAATAGTTCAAAAAACCGGAATTTTTGGTTCCATTTTTTTTAAGACGTAACTCATTTTGTACTTTGATAATTTTTGTAATATCATGTTATAGTGATATAGAGAATGATTATCAATTATTTGATTTTATGAGGGAATATTTTTTTTAAAATGTTATTTTAAAAGGAAAGAAGATAAAATTAAATGTTTTGTGTGTTTTTGTTTTAGAGAAAGAAAAATAAAATCGAAATATTGTAAAAACACAAGTGATAAATATATATATTTAATACACTTTTAGGGAAAGAAAAGTGAAAATTAAAATATGTCAAAAACACAAGTGTATTTTAGTGGAAAGTTTTTTTTTCTTTAAATAAATTGCATATATTTAATGCGATTTTAGGGAAAGAAAAGTGAAGAACAAAATAATTTTTAAAATAAAAACATGAGTGGTGTTTTCATGGAAAGTTTCTTTCTTTATATAATTTGCATAAGGGAAATATGTAAATAATGTATGTTTTAGAAAATGGAGAAATTATTTTTGTATATAAATTACTTAAGGGTCATATGTAAATAATTATGTGGTAAAAAGAGAAAAATTAGTTAAGAGTGATAATTAATAATTGTAAAAAAATTTTTAAATTATTAATTATATTGTTATTTTCGATAATTTTAAAATTTAAATAAAAATTTTTTTAAAAAATTTGTGTATTAGTTTAAAAAAAAATATATAATAAGATGAGTTATAAAATCGAAACAAGTGAACAAATTATCTATGTGAAGATAGTTAAAAAAAATGAAGAATGGGAATTAAAAAACCTAAATTTGAGGAATTCCAGCGATGTTTCAGGTGTCAATCCTACGGACACCTCATAAAAAACTGCAATATTCCAATTCACGTTCTACAAAATCAAGAGAGAGATGAACATCTTAGTGAAATAAATGAGACTCCAGGAACAAGTTATTTTTGTGGGAAAAATAATATGATAAAGCCGGGGGTTGCTTATCATAACTATAACAATATCAATGAGATAGAATCACGACATAAACAGTATGGAAATAGGCAGTGGCCGCCTACTAAATATGATGGGACGTTAAAAAGAACCAATGGAATTCAAGATAGGACATTAGGAGTAATAATTACATCGATGGGAAACAAATTCAAATATTACGGAAAAATGCAAGCTACAAACGAGAATTCGACAAAGTTGGGGTCAACTATAGTTAAAGTGACAAACAGTACTGATTTTCAAAAGAAATATAATTCTATGGAAACTGAAGAGGAAGAGATGTTAGGATAAAGAAGAAGACTTATAAATGTAAAAAAAATTGTTTCCGCGTTTTTTTTTGAGTTTTTCATGTCTTTGTTTTTTTTAGGGCGGACATGATATATATTTTTAAATAATAATATAATTAAATAGTATTTTTAACATTATTAATATATGTCAATCAATTGATAGTTGATATTTAGAAAAATAATATATATATATTGATTGTTTATTATCATTATGAGTAATTTTTATTAAATCGCGGATTGATTAAAAAAATATATAATTTGGAAAAAGATAAAAAAAAGATTGAGCATTGTTTTTTTTTATTATATAAATAATATATATTTTGTTCGAGATTTGATACATATTTGATGAAAATATTTATTTTGAATTGAAATAAAGATTAATCAAAAATCGAGAATAAATTGAAATTGAGAAATATTTAAATACAGAAATACTGTTTAATTAAGAATAAAAGTAGATACATATTAGTCACATATCATAATTTTTAAACCAAGGATATTTGATATCGAGCCAATGAGAAACAAAATTTTTTAGTATATTACAAGAAATTTTGTTCATCAAAAGTCCATTTTAACAAACCGTCCTACCTTTATTAAATTAGAGATAACCAATAGTGCTGTACATTTTTGTAATAATATATTTAAAAAATTAGGGATCAAAAAACATATCAGGAAAAATCTTAAAATATTTAAACTGGTTACATGTCAATACCGTGAAAGGTATTATCGCGAATGCATTACAGTGAATGTTGATTACCGCAAAAAGATATTTTAGCGAATGCATCATAGTGATAATAATACGCGAATATATAATCGTACAGCTAAAATATTAGAGCGAATGCATTAGTGCTAATATAATACCGCAAAAGTGTTATCGCGAATGTATTACCGCGAAAGCATTATCTTAAATGAATTACATCAGTTGCAATATCGAGAATGGAGTTTGATGAAAATTACAATTTTATATTTATCAGCCTTTAGACAGACTTGGTTGAACCTAGAAATTAATTTTTTTGAAAATAGGGCTAAGGCTTTTAATTTTTTTAACTCAAAATTATTATTTTTTTCCTCTTTAGCTTTCACCTTTTTTGGTGGTAAGCTACCATCTCTCTCCACTTTATGTTATATCATACAATATTTTTTATCTAATTTATACTTCTTTATATTGGCTCTAACTTTATGGCCCCATTGAAGTTTTGGCCTTCCTCTTTTACATTTGTCCATCACTTCCAAACTCTCAACTTTATTTCCTATGTAGTTCATAGGCCTTCTCATTGTGTGCCCATAACACTTAAGTCTTTTTACCATTAACTTAGTCTTAATGGGCACTACCTTTAAACTACTTAGTATTCTTGTAATGCGCACTTAATCCTTTCTTGTTATCCCAGCAATGTAGACATCTCTCGTCTGATTCTTTGGTTAGCCATGTTTCCGAACTATATAGAATAGTTGACTATGGAACTGTAAATTTTTCCCTTTAATTTGTGTGGGATTCTTTTGTCAAATAGCACTCCAGATAAAGATCTCCATTTTAACCACCCTTGATTAATCTTACTCTTTATCTCTTTTTCTATTGTGCCGTTTGTTTGTATAGTGGAGCCCAAATATTTGCAGCTTTCAATTGCGGATATCTGCCATTCATTTATATCAATACTCTCTGTTTCATCTCCTCCTATCACCATATACTCCGTCTTTTCTCTATTTACTTTTAATCCGTGCGTTTCTAGGATATTTATCCAACTCACTAACCTTTCTTTCATTTCATCTTTGGATTCGGCAAGTATCACAATATCATCTGCAAATATCATATTCCACGGGACTGTTTGAGGTATAGACTGTCCTAATACATCTATTACTGTAATGAAGAGAAGTGGGCTGAGAGCCGACCCTTGATGAACTCCTTCGGCTATTGTGAAGCCTGCTGAAGTACCTGTTGTGCTACGGATCATTGTTGTATGTCCCATTACATATCCTGTATTATTCTTATATATTTTTCGGGAATTTTTTTGTGGCGTAGCGCCCACCAGATAAGTTTTCTTGGGATTCTATCGAAGGCCTTTTCTAGATCGAGAAAGACCATGTGTAGCTTTTTGTTCTTTTCCCTGTATTTTTCACTCATTTGCCTAATTGCATGGATAGCATCGGTTGTTGATCTTCCAGGCATAAAGCCAAACTGTGTCTCTCCTATTTCGATTATACCTCTTAATCTTTTTTCTATTATTTTTTCGTATAGTTTCAGACAGTGTGACATTAGTTTTATGCCTCTGTAATTTTGACAATTGTGTGGATCCCCTTTATTTTTGAAGATAGGAACTAGATAGCTCTGCCTCCATTCTTGGGGAACCTCTTCATTT